GCACTTTGAGGCATTTTAGTTCACTTCTGATGCTTCAAAACCTTAGGTCCAGAGAAAATGCGTCTTCTGCACAGCTGGCTTAGCTCTCTGTATGTGAAAGCAGAGTGGAAAATGCTGCACAAAAATAATGTCATATAGGCTAGCTAGGAAGTGTCACTTCCAAAATGCTAATATGCATGTAATTAGTTCAGCTTTTAAGATTTATCTGTTTAAATGTTCATATTATGCATACATAATATGCAGTTATAGTTAAGAGTTTCCAGCCCAGGTATCTCACAATTTTATAACAACAGGCTGATTACTCTTACACCTTGCTTAATATTCTAATTTTATTATAAAACCTAATCTGGAGGACTTTTAGCTTTATATGGCTCCATTGGTTTTTTTAGTATGCATGTATTTTCAATCCTTTTTGTGAATGCTCTGTTAATATCTTTTTTATTCAGCAAGTTTTTATACCTTCGATAACAGATACTACAAATTTTAGTAACAGTACTTTACAAAAGTATGCATTCTTGAAATATAAAGTGTCACTTTTGATCAGCATACTACAACCCTTAACAAAATAGGAATTTATAAATCCATTTTGCCATAAAGATATTAAAAAAATCAAAGTCTGTAAACAGAGAAAAGAGATTATATGATATCCTAAATAATTCAAGTCAGTACTTACAATTTGCACTGCAAAACCCATGAAGAATGTACAAAAAATATTTCTTGTATGTCAGTCCTTCCCTTCTTCAGGCAAAGCGGAGACTAAGTAAATAAACTCTAGATTAATTAGTGCCCAGACCAAACGAAATAAAAAAGTGAACTTTTTGGGGATCTGATATTAGTGTGACTTAGAATGTGGAAAAAAACCATGAAAAAAAACAAGTACAAATGCTTTAGTATGTGCCACAGCAGTGATTGCCAATTTTGGGGATGAAATGTTTTTAAAAAAATTTTCTCTTTTCACTGAAAAATTGTTCTAAAAAAGGAAAAAAAAGACCAAATCGTTTTCATAAATCTGCTCTCAAATCACTGAGAAATCAACTGAAAGGATCTAAGTTCTTTGGATCCATGCTCCGGTTACACAAACATATTTGCACAAGAGAACAGTTAACGAAGCTATTACTGAATTGGCTCCAAAGCTTGATCTTTTTATTACTAAACCCACAGTATTTTTACTCCGATGTATCTTCTGCCATTTAAACAGATGTGACAACCAAAGGGTGAAACAACCCAGCCATACTCAGAGCTAGTTGAAAAATGACATTTCTAGTCCATTGGACATTCTAACAGTTGAAAAGTTTTAACTCTGAGTGGGAAGAAAGTCTAAATTCACCATGGAGTATAAATTCTATCCCCTTCCCAAAATATTTTGAGAATCTGAATAATACAATAGAGTAAATAAAATACATAAACAAACTCCGATATGAAAAGAAAATGCATCCAGCAATGAAATGGAAATATTTTGCTATTACTAAAACAGACCAAGGAAGTCAGAATGATTTCTTCTCCTAATTTCTTATTCCTTGCCTGATGTTTGAGGGAAACCTTTCCGTTTTAACAAGACTTCATTTTTTTCAACAGAAAACTCTTCGGCTGAGAATGTTTTAGCCCACACTACCTACCAACATGAATATGCAAAAGCTGGGAGATACACACACGTATAACCATGTATACCTCACGTATACCACACATATATACCCCACGTATACCACACGTGTACCATGTCACCCCCACGCAAGCCCTTACACGATACACATGGTTTCCATCTATTTTGGCAATAGTAGCAGAAGCCTCTGGACACCCAGCCCAGTCAGATTTAACGTTACAAATCATCAGCACTGAAAAGTGAAGTCACAATAATGTTTGCTGATCCTAGAATAAAAAATGACAAAATAGTCGTGTTTATATCTACTTTTTCTTCAAAAGGGAAGTACACAGACACAAATTTGGTGCATGGGGATTTTATGTTAAAAAGAAGTAAGCAACTATGATGCCTGATGGATGTTTTTAAGAATGCTGTTTCGGCCAGAAAAATAATACGGTGCTTTTTTTTTCCACTTATTCCCTGTAGCTTTACACAATCAGTGCAGTTTTTTATTTTTGGTATTAAAGAGTGTCACAGAAAAGCTGACTGGAAGGGACCTTGGGAGGTCATGTGGTCCAACCCCTACCCCAAGGCAGGATCCGCTCTTCCTGTGTTAGTCCTGCAAGATGTCGGATCTGTTCTTAAAGACAGTCTGTGAAGGGCAAGGGGTCACCTACCATCGTCTGTCTGCTCCAGGGCTCCAAAGTCTTCACCGTGAAGTTCTTCCAAATGTCTAATCTGAATGTTCCTTCTTGCAATTAAACAGATTACTGCTTCACCATGGCTACGGGGAGGAGATTAATATCTTGGCTTCTGCAAAAGCCTCATACACTTGCAAATTCGGGGTGAGTGAAATTGCCTAGCTTTCTCCGTAATTATTTCAGCTTGGGAATTCTAACGAGACATTGGTCAGAGGTAATTGGTTAGGAAGTGCATAAACAGCAGCTTGGAAATAATACTAATAGTTACAGGGGGGAATAGCCTGCCCTTTGGGTTCTCCGTAAGCCGGCTGGACATAACCTAACCCACACCAGAAAGTCTGCATGAGAGCAGATCAGAAGTGAAAGATGGCTATTTACAGACTCAGTAAATAGCTATGTACTTCATGAGACACAGTACCCTAAATTCTCCCTATGATGAAAAATATAGACCTATCAACCACTTAATAGTCAATATAATATCCACTTTTTTGCAGTCATGCAGACGCCATTAAGATACATTCAGGAGCCATCAGCTGCTTCTGCAGTACACCACAGTAGGCTACACAGAAACTACAGGCAACGCGGTGAGAAATTACTGCCCTGATTAAAACTCTAGGTCCTCCAATTAGCCAGTATGAATGCCAGCGTGATTTAAAGTGCCTGCTGTACCCAGCAGATGCCTTCATTTCAGTAAGGGACTTCACTGTCCCCCAAACTGACTGCCTTGCCCAACTCGCCTGCTGGAAACAAGGGGCTGGTTGTCTCGCAGTTAAACGCCGAATTTACTCTCCGTGGAAATGGATGCCTATTCCCAGCCCGTCCGAAGCTGCGCTTTGGTCTCTCAGCATACAGGACAGGGCTAACTCACGAGGAGGAGAACACATGCCCTCCTGACCAAAGAGTTTCTCATTCCTCTGTGCATCCTTGCTGTGCTTCTGTGTCCTCTTGGCAGGACCTAAAAAGATACGCAGCGGATGCACCAATGCGCAATTAAATATTACAGATGTGCGCTAATGCTTTGGGAACGTGCCCGCTACCAAAGCCCTGCCAATTTACAGATTATTGTAAGAACACCTTAAAACTGGCAGCAGCGCCGTTCCACCTGCTGTCTTTGTAAGGGAGCAGCATTTCTAGCCCTGTCTCCACTTCAGGACACAATGTGCAGTGAAGCAGCACCTGCTGCTCTCCCGTCTCTGACGGGCATGAGTAAGGGCTGGAGAGTAGATACAGGTGCTCAGAGTCCTCCTGCACACCGCCTCAGCCAAATGTACGCTGACAGAAATGTGAAGTTATCTCCGAACACAGATGTTTGGCTTTGCTGCCACTGCCTGACACTGGCACTTTATTTTCTTTATCATGTGTGTTGAATTGAAAGTTTTTTTTTTAGGGCCTGACCTTGGCAGCAGTTGCTACTGCATTTCATCATAAAGATA